TGCTTCTTACTCTTTTCCTTCTACTTCAACCCTGCCCCTCGTGATAGAATAATAACAAAGATTCTTTTTTTTTTATGAAGTACTGTCCTCGTGTCGCTGTGGTGTCGCTGTGTGAGAGTGTCAGGGGGCTCCTTCCCTGGGGTCAGGATGTGAGCTGCCTCTCTCAACTTCCCAGGACCTCTCTGAAGTGGTCAGGCGTGACTACTACCAAAAAAGAAGGCCTGTAAGTTCCTCAAAAGTTCATCCTATTTCCTAGAAGGCTGGCATTTATAGCAATTACTTGCATCCTTGGGGGAAAGGGCACCTGCTCCCAATGAACCAATGCAAAAAGAACCCCAGACCCTCCATGCCGACCACCACAGGGACTCCTCCGGAGCAAGATGTTATGAATCATTTCCGCTTCAAAACATAGCACACTGTTCCATGAGATCTCACTCTAGTTCAATACCAAAAAGCCATTCTTGCCTGAAAGGGAGGTTTCATAGGCTTGCTTTAGCAATTCTATTTTCTCCGAGTGGCTAGCTTCAATCTCCAACTTAGAGGTTTCATGGGCAGCGTTTAAGTTGTCAAACTATGAGAAAAAAAAACAAACAACAAGAGTTTACCAATAAAATCAAAAGTCCTAAGGTGACTCACAAGCAGCACCATTAGGAGATCTGACGCATGAGCTCAAGTTCACGTTTAAGGGCTACTGGGCACGTGTGAAGAACAACCTGACCGGGGGCTGCCAGTGCCACTGCTCCACCTCGTCCCCTTCAGGAACACAAACACACAAGCTCTTCGGGGTTCACTGATGGAAGCGGTCACATCCCTCGTACGGAATGAGGATACTACGTTCCACAGTGACGGGTCGTGATGGACCCTATATTCTCGGTCCTCACTGGCATATAGCAGGCACTGTGTAAATATTTGCTAAGTGAAGAGCTGACTTTAAAAGGGAGCAAGGAAATTAAAGAGAGATTTAAGATATACTATAAATTGAAAAATACGAGTTATTAAACAAATGCCATTTTAAAAAAGAAAAAGAAATGCAAACCAGTGTTTTAGCAGCACACCACCAGGAAGCTTGCAAAGGGCTTATTTCTAGGTAGTAGGATAAAGGGTGTTTTTTTTTTTTTTTTAATATATCCAAAAAAGCAAAAACACTAATTTCAAAAAACACATGCAACCAATGTTCACAGTAGCATTATTTACAATTGCCAAGATATGGAAGCAACCAAAGTGTCCACTGACAGATGAATGGATAAAGAAGATTTGATATGTATGATACACACACACACACACACACACTGGAATACTGCTCAGTCATAAAAATTGGTTGAAATTTTACTATTTGCAGCAACATGGATGGACTTGGAGGGCATTACGCTGAGTGAAATAAGTCATGCAGAAGAAGACAAATACTGTATGTTACCATTTTTATGTGGAATCTAAAAATACAACACACTAATGAAGATAACAAAAAAAACAGACTCACAGAGAACTAGTGGCTCCCAGTGGGGGGAGGGAATGGGGAGGGGCTATGTAGGGGCGGGGGACTAAAAGGTACAAAATACTAGGTATAAACTAAGCTCTAAGGAGATACTGTACAGCAGGGGGAATATAGCCAATATTTTATAATAACTATAAATGGAGTATAACCTTTAACAATTGTGAATCACTATAATATACACCTGTAACTGATATAATATTACACAGCAACAATCCTTCAATTAAAGAGATCTTTTTAAAGGGTTGTTTTAAATCTTATCTTTCTTTTTTCTTCCCATCTTTTGCTCAACATACGTCTATTGCTTTCACATTAAAAAACAAGTACTTTAAAAAACTATTCATGTATTTAAATTATAAGAAAGTCCATCAAGGGATACCCAAAAAAGAGGTCATCCAAGGAAGCTCGTCATCGGACAATCGGGCAACGGTTAGAATTCAAAATAACAGCCACAGCCAAGAACACGCTCAGGTCCGGAAAGCACCAACCTGCTCCTGCAGCTGGGTTTTGTACTTCTCTGCTTCTTCGATGTAGATGTTCTGAAGCTTTTCGCACTCCCCAGTATAAAATTCTTTAAGCCGGTTCTCCAGCTCTGTTAGATCAGTCTGGTGCTGCTGGTTTAGCTTCTGGACAAATCCTTCATAAGCTATTTGCAACTCATTCCTGGCTTTTTCTAACTTCTCACAGGTGGTTGAAGCAGTGACTGAAAAGAGATGAAAAACAAAAAGGGAAGAGGACACTTAACCTGCTAACTGTTGTAAATTCATAACATTCGCACACAGCTGTGATAACTCTGGAAGCATGTACACAGGGCTCTCAGGGTACTCAGTTCTCTTGGGGCCACATTTTCAAATGCAATAGTACATAAGTGAACGGTAACAGGGAACGAGAGAAAATGCTCTCTAGCAGCAAAAAACCCCCAACTGTCTTACTGTCTAGCAAGCAGTAAGAGAGGTCCTTGAGCGGAGCCAGATACCGAAGTGAAGAGCACCCTTTGGCATGGTGACCAATCAACGCAGGGGCCATAAGGAGAGGAGGCTCTGATTGGCGGAGGCATCTCTAAGGCGGGCCCGCCAGTAGGGCGGCAGCTACAATACAGACGGAACAGGTAGAGAACCACAGAGAGGAAGTAAATGGACTTGAAGCTTGTACTTAACTGGAGCCAATGTCAACTTGTTACTCAAAAATAAGGTCATAACAACCAACTATTAGAATATACTGAACACAAATCACCAAAACAGAAAAACTTTCGGAAAAACACCCTTGAAAAGCTACAGTATAATGAGAATATATTGGAACGCTGATGTTTTAAAAAGGCAAAGCAATTTGATAAACATCATTTGAAACGAGAGCATTCTAACTCTTCACCACCGCCACTACCAAAAAAGGAATTACTAACAACACCTTACAGAACTTGCACCTAAATACATACCCACACATGCCGCAACAAAGCCTGAAAGAGCCCTGTCGTTTCTCAGGAGCTTGACTTTGGACTTTTCTAGTCTTCATTTCCCGACGTGGGTTAGATGGGGTAAAAGGTGCCACTGTATGTGTGAGGAGGATGCGTGTTCTCAACACCGCAGAGTGCCCATGGACTCGTATGAAATGGGCACCGCAACCCTTACCTCTCTTTTGGTAAGGAATCTGTATTTCTGGAGTTGTGGAAGGAAAAAGATTTTTGAGGGCAGAGAAAAGAAGTTTAGATCAATGATTATTTTACCCAAGTAATGGGAAACTGGCTGGTTCCTGGGGTGAATTCAGGCAATGATGTAGACATGTTTTCTTGGGAATATGCCACATGGCAGTAGAAAAACCAGTCCCTTGTCCCATATGGGTATTCCTTCAGAGGGAAAATAAGCCACACGGAAATAATGACAAGCACAGTGTTTGCTAAAAGTGGAACCCTTAAAATTCAAATACACACACAAATATTTATCAAAGGGGGAAAGGAACTAACATTAAAAGCAAGAACTACTATGATATTGAGGGTGAAAACTATCCCACTGTGAGCAGCAGTGGGACACTGGACTGTGAGCCTTGAGAACTGGACCATTCACATGGAGAGAAGACTCACACAGGCAGGTGGAGGCCAGGGAACAGAGACCATCAACATTGCTGACAACTCAGGCCTTTGGGATGAAATTTGGGAAGTCACTTTTTTTCTTTAAAAAATACTTAGTAAAAGATGATGGCCGTGCTGAATGCTACAGAGGACCCTCTTCACATCACTATTTATCAAAAGAGGAAAGAAGGAGTAAACACGTCCACTTCCGCTCACTTTCCGAAATAACACAAATAAAATGATGGGGCCACAAGCCTCCTTGTGTGAATTCCACGTGAGAGCTCTCTATCTGAAAGTACGCGATAGAAAGATGTTTTGCATTCAATAAAGGCATCAAAATAGCTCTCCTAGTCAGAGAAATCTTGATTTCACACAGCCTTTCGGACTTCATACCCTTGGAATTTTCAGAGTTCAGCAAAGTGAAAAACAAAAATTCTAGCTTACCGGAATGCTCGTATCAGAGATAAAATGTCTAATTGAACCACAAACCAGGAGAGGCTCTGAGTGGATGTTAACAGTCCATGACACCTGCCGAATTTCTAGCACATCTGCTTGTAATCCAACAACTGTCAGTTTGAATGTGGAACTGTGGTGCATCCAACTTTAAAATCAAATAGGATATATGGAAATCCTCTCATTAACCACTGGACAGGGTGTTTCCTCTTTAAAAAAAAAAAGCAACTTAAATAGTGTTTAGTTCTGTTGGCCACTGTGGGTGAGGTGAAGCGGGGACAGGAGGGGAGGAAGGGAAAGAGGAAAACCTGGGTGGGGCGGGTCAGAGGAGCGGGGGTCCCCGCGGTTAGTACAGCAGTCTGCACGCAGTGCAGCCGGCCCCAGATGGTGACATCAGCGTGCAGCTGCGGGGAACAGCTGGGCCGAAGCGATGCCTCACACAAAGGGCTCTCCTTTGAGTTAATTGGCCTGCACTCCTGGGGAAACATTTATTTGGCATAAAGACTCATGAAGCACTTTTGGAAAGAACACACATGTCAACACCGTGTCAAGGGTTCTCAGGACCCCTGTCGGCTGGACACACTCGGTTGGGGTGGGGGGGACGGGGCATCAGCCCGTGGTCTCAGTCCCGGACTTCTCCTTGTACTTAATTACAGTTCAGGAAAGGTTTCTATGCCACCCACTCTCGCTCTTACTCCTGTTCTCAGTCTTGTCTCTTCCTTGCTTGTTCTCCAGAGTTCCACTCACTTTCAGTCAATTAATCAGACACGCAACACAGCCAAAGCCAAACATAAATCTTTCAGAATTTGGACTGAGCAAGCGAGGAGTGTTTGCACAGTGTTAGGCGATACTGTTTTCAAGAAGTGATTGCACAACTGAAGGATCCACAGAACAAAGCAGGCCTTCCATCCTTGTTTTAATCATTCCTTGGGTGACTTTTAAAAGCATATCTGTGATTAAGGGCACCAAGAGGACCACCACTGCCTGTAGACGAATTGATGGATTATAATTTTTGCGCACATGTTGGTAAACCGCAGAAGCTGTCTCCAGCAATCTACTAATTCAAGTTGGAGAGTTCTCAGAATTAGGAAACAAATGAAACCAACTCATTTACAAGATCAGCCCAAAACATAAGGCTTCATCACAAGCTGGAACTGGACATTTTCACCCTGAGATGTGCCAGGTCTGAGAGAAACTCGAGGTCAGTGACAGAACAGGAAAAACAGAGAGACACTCCCTGACGGTTTAAAACATGGATAACTGAGCCAGGAAAAAATACTTCAGAAGAAGTGATGAGAAGCTCGAAATTTTTCCTTTTCACCTATTTGGATGATATCTAGAGAAGGTCTAGAGGCAGAGTCAAATAGAACCTGGAAAAATAGAACCGGCTTCATCCTGGGTCGTTCAGCAGTTTTCCCTGAGGAGTGAAGTACAGCCATCACCTATTTTGTATAACTGGCCTTTTCTAAGAGGAAGAAGTCAGATTTTTATTACTTCCATCCTTGGAGACTAGTTTCCCATTGGTGACTGATAAACGTGCTGTTTACAGAGAAAAGCATCATACAACTGTGGCCCTAGATTGTTACTGTTGTTTTGAAGTGATGCAGGGCTTTCTTAACCTCTATCTGAGCCGCAGTCTTCATCATGAAACAACCAGAAATATTTTAATTCTTAGGAACATAAATAGATGTCTTAATAGAACAGCGCTAAATACTTAGGCTTAAATCTCAACCATACCACTTACCAGTTAAGTGATTTGAGCAAATTATTTAAGCTTTTCTAAGCCTGAATTTCCTTACTTTTAAAATGGAGTTAATACTAGTGTCTTCCCTGCAGAATTAAATAAAATACATGTGACGTACCTGGCCATGTGCCTGACCAGCATAAGTTACACAACCAGTGTTACTGTTACTACACCGAGCTTCGCCGGAGTCCACCAATTCAAATGTGTTTGAAGAGTCTTCAAAGACATGCTTGAGGGGGGGAGGGCCTATGACAACATGTGACAGTTAAAAAGAAGTGTTGTTTATCTAATATTCAAAGAAGATAAACACACACATACATGTGGACAGAGGACACACCCACCTCAAATTTTCACTTTCTACGACTCTTGTTCTGGACATTATATGCAATAGAATTTCCCCAACTTTTAGGTAAGTTTATTTAAATTGGACATAAAATATGAAAAAGAAAACTGGGGAGGTAAGGTCACTCGGAAGCTCATGCAGAGTTTCGTGATGCTGTACAAGAGACGGTGACAGCAAAGGGAAACAGGAAAACACAATGACCTCAGCCCCTAGCTGCACACCCACGCCGCCCCCAGACACGCCCAGCAGGCCGGCCCTGGGTGACAGCCCTTCCTTGAGCAGAGCGCCCTTCTCCCTACCCTCTGCGTGGGAAACGAGATGCCTGGTCCAGCTCTTCCTGCTGCTCTGCGCCCCCTCAACCTCTCCCTGGCCCCCCTGGCCTGCTTTTAGTTCTGGGCGCCTTCCACTCCTTTCTTCAACAGCACACCCTTTGCAGGGTAGACGTGCTTAAAAACAATACTTATAATTGTGGAATAAATTTAGATCAACAGAAAAGGTACAAAGAGAAAGTACCAGGAGCTCCTGCACACCCTTCACCTAGCTTCCCCAAACGTTACCACGCGTCAAAACTACGGTTGTCACATGGGAACAATACTGTTAATACTCTACTACAGACACTTCACTCAGATTTTACCAGTCTTTCCACTAATGCCTTTTTTAAAAGAATAAACTTTTTAAGAATAATTTTAGATTTTCAGAGAAGTTGCAAGGATAGAATAGTTCCCAGACACCTCTCAGCCAGTTTCCCCAGTGCTGATGCCATAGATTATGATGGGGTATTTGTGAAAACTAAGAAACCCACACTGGCATGTTATTATTAGCGAAACTCCAAACTTTGTCCTCTTTTTTTCTGTTCCAGGCTCCAACCCAGGACAGCACACCACATAGTCATCACATCTCCTTCATCTTTTCTCATCTTGGAGTGTATCTTCCCTTGCTTTTCATCATCTTGACAATTTTGAACAGTCAGGCATTTTACGGGATATCCCTCAGTTTGGGCTCGTCTGATACTTTCTCTGCATATTCCTTTGACCCAGCAATTCTACTAATAAGAATCTGTCTTACAGATTTACTCCCACACATATAAAATGAGGGACATAC